TGCTCCCATTTATTCATATCTTCTTCCATTTCTTTCTTCAATGTCTTATAATTTTTAGGATACAGGTTTTTTATCTCCTTGGTTAAATTTATTCCTAGGTATTAAATTCTTTTTGATGCAATTGTAAATGGGATTGCTTTCTTAATTTCTCTTTTTGATAGTCTGGTATTCTGAATATTAATTTTGTATCCTGCTACTTTACTAAATTAATTTATCAGTTCTAATAGTTTTTGGTGGAATCTTTGGGGTTCTCTATATATAGTATCATGTCATCTGCAATTTTCTATTCACTAACTCAATACTCCTCTTGCTTAAGATTCCTTTTGAATTTATTAGGAATCTACATTGGGGTTACTGTCAATTTCCCTTGCAACTGCCCATCTTCATTTGTCTTGTAAGAATCCCCATTCCCTCTGACATCTCAAAGATTATGACTATTTTTTAGAACTCTGAAGTTCTTTAAATTCATTTAAAGATTGTAATCCCCAAAGGGATCTAATTCTCCATCAAACATACTGATCATTCTTCTTGCTAAAGAACACCTAAATCAAACAAGATCTCAGTAGTTCTGCCTTTCTTTTCTGATGTTCTTACTCCAAACCAATTTTAAAATCCTTTTGCATTGATTGGCATGGTACAAAAAAGGACCATTCTTCATATGTAACTTACCCTTCATATATGTCTTTCCTTCTACTGCTAGTTAACCAGTCAAATTGATATTTTTAGACAACTCTTTGCTTCCTATTGAAATTATCAGATTTTTTTTTCTAAATATCTTTTCAATGTTATTGTTTGTTCTATTACTAAGTCTCATCCTGAAATTCATCATTACTTTTTAGTCCCTAGTTATGGATCATACTTATTGTTTCCCTGGCCTTTTCTAAATCTACTTCCTCGAAGTCAACAGAATGTATGTGATAAGTCTCAGCACTCTCTTTATTTCCATTTCCACTAGTTATTCTTTATTATTCAAAATTCAGAGTGGAAATGAAGTTTCCAGCAGTCAGTCACAACTGAAATCCCCAATCACTATTACATCTTATCTCTATATAAATTTTATAGGCTGAATTAGCAAAGCATATCTTCCAAAATGCTCTGCAGATCTCCTATATACTCCCATAACAGTTTCTTTTCATTTTAGTTTGATTCCTACTGAAATCACTCTACTATAGAAGACAACCAACAGGGACACATATTTTTATAAATACTTTGTTATTTCCTTTCCTTGTCCCCTTTAATAGAGCAATTTCATTTTAATAAAGTATATGATTTTGTTGCCATATTCCAAACAAAATCCATCTAAATCTTACAGACCACATGTATAGTCACAGTCCGAGTCCTCTCGGAACTCTTTTTCCTTAACCTGTATGAATGTCTATCTGCTGTGCTGTACACCTGAAACTAATACAAAAAGGTGCTGAATGCAAACTGTAATAAAAAAAATTTTTTTTTAATCTGAACTCTTTGTCTTTAATAAGTTAAGGGAAAAAAACTTGACAAGTTAATACTGAAAAAGTCTTCACGTTTTGGTTTCATTATTTGGCCTTTTTTTAACCCAAGGAGGTCTCATGGAGAAGGAGATGGGCTCATGAGCACTGTAGTACTACATATCAAATAAGAAGCTCTCTATCTGGATTAAAATTATGAGGATCTCCTCCAAATAGTCCCTGAAATAGTCTACCTATAGTTAAGCTTTTTAAAAACTAAGTGCATTTATAGGTAAAAATACTAAGTAATTAAACATGGGTACTTTGACATATGCCTTAGGAAGTTGTTGCCAGAAAACAAACTCCTGGTAAAGTCTTTTAAAAAGTCAGACGTAATACAAAGGGATAGTACAAAAACCTGAAAACTAGTAATACTCATTACCAAATACAAAAACTAGTCATGAATATTACACTATGTTTTAAAACTAGTTTCAGGATCAAGATGACTCCTGAAAATGTTGATGAGAACCATATCAATAATTTAGTAGAAACTGCTGAAATGATTTACAGGAGTTTCCCATAATGATTTTTATTTTACTGTTTTCCTAAAATGTAAAGGTAGAATGCAAACATTCTTGAATTATAAGTTGCCTGAATATCAAAGAAAAATTTTATTTTTTCTAGTAAAAAGTCTTAAATGAAAAACTTTCATTATGCCAATTCAATGTTATAAGGCAATCAATGAAGTAAACACAAAAAATATCAACAATCCTGTTTATCATAAATACAGACGTTTTCATTTCTAATTTCTCTCCCCAGAGTAAATTTTAAAAGTTCTTACCTAATTCATAGAGATGCCCATCTACGTGAACTAATGCAATAAAATGAAGATCTACTTTTTCATCTATATTTGGTGCCTGGAATAGGAGGAAACATAAATATTACATATGTTAATAGTCAAACAAATCAATCAAGTACACATAAACACATACAAATAATATCAAATGACGTGAGAGAACATTTATCCAAAATAATTAAAGGCTTAACCTTTGATATGGTGGACAATGAATAAATATGTTTACATTTTTAACAACGTGCTCACCTGTCAATAAGAAAAATGTCAACTACAAGCACTTCTTTCTTAATCTCAATAATCTAAAAACCTAAAGTTTTATTCACCTTCAAAGCCCCAGAGCTTTGCACAATGCCTGGTATATAGTAAATGTACAATGTATACTTGCTGAAAGAAATGAATAGTGATTTGTCTAATTTTTAAAATTTGAAAAAGAAAGTCTTTTAAAATTTAATAATAGCATAAACAGTTTAAAAAAACTCAAGTTTTAAGACACTAAGAAAGTGAGTTCTCCCCTTAATGACTTGACTTTGATAATTTTATTTTTTTGAAAAATGCAATATAAAGAGTTTTAGAGTAAAATAAGTATCTTTATTTATTCTACATTCAAAAAGTTTAAAAATGAAGAGATGCAGGAAAATAACCCAAAAGATTAAAGGGAAAAAATAAGGGTCAGAGCAAATTAAAATACAATTAACTGTAGCCTATAATTTTTCTCTTGCTTTTTTAGTAAACTATTTGAAATTTAAACTATACCTAGGGCCCAGCCAACAGGGCTCAGCGGTTGAGCATTGATCTATGATCCAGGAGATTGAGGTTCAATTTCCGGTCAGGGCACTTGCCTGGGTTTTGGGCTCCATCCCCAGCAGGGGGCGTGCAGGAGGCAGCCAGTCAATGACTCTCATCACTGATGTTTCTATTTCTCTCTCCCCCTCCCTTCCTTTCTCTGAAATCAATAAAAACATAAAAAACTATACCTAGGTTTTTTTGGCTTACCAAATTCAATTTGCACAAACAATATCTGCTACATTTGTTAAACATTCAAGTAACGTATGCAAAGTCAATACATGATTCACTGATACTGTCTTTAATATGCAATAACTACACAGCTAACACAAGCATATGTTAGCTACATATCAGATCTAAATGGTTTGAAATGAAATACAATCAGTGTTAAATACAAGTACAAATTTTAGAGACAAAAGTTTTCAAGAGGCATAAATCAAATTACATCTCATATTACATAACATCCTGAAACACAACAGTAGCTTAACTCTAAAATGCATACTTTTTTCACCCATTAGTAATTATAAAACTTTAAATAGTTTTAATATGAAGTTTTCAGATGCAGAAATTGTAAGGTACAGAAGAAACATTATTATCTTGGGTTTACTGAATGCTTTTCAGACATTTACAGATACAGTGACTCATGTAATCTCACGTTGTTCTTCAGAAATCATTTTCTTCAAGTTTATGAATGAGAGAATGGCAACAAAAACTGATATCACAAACTAGCTCTTCCTAACTTCAAAACAGAACTAAAGAATTCCGCAGTTGATAGGAATTAAAGTTACCTAGTTTTACTGTTGTTAAACTCCTTTCTACCACAGCCCCTACTTCTAGTAGCCCCTCCAAAAACAGGGAACTCTCGCTAGGTTTCGAGGCAATCCATTCCATCTTTGATAGTTTTGTTAGAGTTACCCCTCATACTGAGGCTACAATATGTTTCCCAGTGTTTTCCACCATCTTATAAAAAATTTAATAGCTCTTGAGCATACTTCTTCAAATAATTAAAGATGGTGATAAAGAGTTCCCTTACTTTCCTGGTCAGAAAATCAAATATATTACTGATCACTCAATCCATTACCCTCATTTTACCAATGACCAAAAGAGAATTCAATTTTTCAAGGTCAAACCTAAGCAATTCTACAAACTATAAATTCAATTTTATAAAAAATGCCAGAAAGAATTTTTTATCCAACTAGGTGGTTTTCTCATTTTAAGACAATTCTTCAACAGGATATCAAGTATTTTAAATCTTTTGAGCTATTATGTTTTCAAAATTTTTGAATTATTTTAATACCATCTCTTATTAAGAATAATACATCTAATAGCTTCCATGTTTCATATCCTGGCAGTAAATACAACTGTGCTAGAAATAAAAGTAGTATAATTGGAGTCAGAGACCTGAACATGTACTCAATCCCTGTGAGTACTGATTTCATCTGTTTTGAGGCTGAAATGAAATGCATTAAAGTACTTTGTAAACTGCTAAGTGTTACTAAATATTCTGTATTATTACAATATTAATACTGCATTATCACAAATGTAAGAAATCACTAAATATAGTGACTCAAAAGTATGTGTCAGTACCTGCTATGAGCCTTTTCCTTTGGTCTACTTTAATTAATCTGAAAATCTGAAATGTGCAATATCCATTGCTTAAAAAACTGTAATTATCCATTTCTTAAAAATTATTCCGCCCCAAAACAAGAATAATTAAAAAGCAAATCCCAATAAGTTTTTCATTTAAAAAAGTGACCAGCAAATAAACAAAGGGCAAAAAAGCAGAAGCTATAGATTTGGATAATTTTTGCCTACATTTATATATATTATTTTGTATAATAAAGTTCCCTAATTTAGAATACTTCTTGTCTCAAAGAATTAGAAAGTAATATAACAAATCAATTAGATAAAAATTAAAATCTAAATAGAAATTTCAAATTATAAAAAGGTACAGTTTAAATTTAATTTATAATTGTATGGCACTTACTATGTAACAGGCACTAAGTTATAAGTGCTTTATATGTGCTTTATATGTACTGACTAATTAATTGTCATTTAAACTCTACAAGGTAGGTAATATAATTATACCCATTTTACTCTCAAGAAAACTGAGGCACAGAAACATTAAGTAACATGCTCTAGATCACAAAGCACCTAAGTGATGGAACTTGGTTTCAAATCCAGGCAGTACCATTCTAGAATCCATGTTCTTAACCACTAGTCTGTGAAAATACTTATGAAGTTATAAAGCAATGGAATTAATATGGAGCAAACATTATATAAAAACATAAACCTGGAAAAACCAATTTTTATGACATATTCATTTATGTTTAGAATATTTTTAAGTACAAAGGAATTTATTTATACTTAGAATCAACTGTGCCCAAGTCAGAATTTACAAAATTAGAGTTTTACTCTGATCATTTAATTCACCTTATATCTCCTACTGTACAAATTAGCACACCAAGGAAGCAACGAATATCAAATGATAAATGAATAAAAATGACAAATGCACACTGTGACCCAATGAGGATAATGAAACAGAGACACACTAGTTTGCTGATACTCAGCAAAAATCAAAAGCTCTTTTGATGACCATACTGATATTTGGTGGAAGCAGATGTTTAAGGAAAAGTGCCATGACTCCACTTCATAATTTGAGTATGACTCTAGAAGAGTAAATAAGGGGAGGAAAGAATGTTTGACACCAACTTTTTTTTAAAGCATTAAATGTATGTGTAATTAGACTTCCTCTGGCTTCGAAAGTCATGATGATTTATAGAACTGTCAAGTTTCTTATAAATGTATGGCATACACCAAATCTCTCAGATATAATATTTTTAGGTAGGTTCTACCAACCCATAGTCATTGCCACTAACAGTCTAAAACATCAGAAAGATAAGAGCTGTATTTGCCGAATCCTGCGGTTTATTTCAATTATGAAAATAATTAGAATTCCATCAACCTCAACATTTAAGAAAATTAACAAGATTACAAGAACATATGTACTTTTTAATAGTTTGCTAATATTATCTACCTAAGAAGGAGAAATCCTAAAATTTGTGGGACGCCTACATCAATTCACAAGGTAAAAATCTTCGCCTCCTACTTGGAAAGATGTTTAGAAACTGAATAGGAAGGGAAGATTGGATCAAGATTAAACCAAGTACCTGAGCCACCTCAGGGAATAAAATAGCTTAGATGAAACACCCTACACCATGAAGGATTAGATTAAGGATAGAATAAGTAAAGCACCCCAGAGCATGACAAAAGACGAAAGTCATGTTCAGAAACATGGAGGGGAAAAAAGTAAGAGATAGTATAGAACTCAGAAGGTACACAGCATTTGTTGACCTGAGTCAACTAAATGAAATCAGAAAGATGAAGGGTAAGAGAATACACATTCACTTTAACAACTGATAGGAACTTAAACATTATCATGAATGTCGATCAAAAGGCAGGCATCAAAAGGTACTCATCAAAAGGCAGGCATTTTTATGTTGGCAGGACATGGAGTGGAAAGATGGATGTTCACCAAGGCATTGGTGAAAGTCAAGCTAGACTGCAAAGCATGGAGGTATGCTTGCAATCTTATTGGGGGAGAAAAAGCTAATGGTTGAGTGAACCAAGAGAAAAGCACTTTGAAGACTGAAGAAGTTTAAGGGAAAAAATGGACTGCCCTTGTCACTGGAAGAAGAGACAGAAGATTGACTACACTTACAACAGAATGGAGACCCAAAGATGGTAGGCGTAAGAAGGGTCGCCAGCGACGAAGACGGAGAGATGGACTGGCAGCCTTTGCGGGGTCTACATGGTTACGTTTGACCCAGGGCAGGGATGCATGGTGACACAATGATGAGGCCTTCGTTCTGCAGTGGCTACAATGAGGCTGTGATGAGGATGGCGAGGAGGACTACATAATTAAAAAAGAGAACATTTTACTCAGACCACGTTACTGGGTGATCATTTATTCTTAAAAGCAACGTATGGTCATACTTGTATTTATATGGTCTAGTACTTTTAATCAACCATAATCTAGAAAAAGGCCATAAATAAATATTGGTTAAAGGTGGGTAAAGTGGAAATACATAACCAAGGTATCCGGTTATATGCCACAGCTTCTGTAAGTGTATTACTTACATATCCTCATATGTATAGCACAGGCTCGTGGAATTTATTATTTAAAAGCCACTAAAATGGAATTATTATATCAAGTTGTTTTTAAAAAAGGAATACACATAAAACATATAACACATACAAAACACTAGAATGATGTATAGAAGAAAACTGTATGGTGATAAGCACTGGTAAAAAGAGTTTCTTAGAATAAACACTAAGGGGGAAAAACAACACTTTAAAATATAAAGTAAAATAAACCCCTCTGAGGCTGATGACCTACATAAACTATCCTCTTACTTGGGCTGATAAGTTAAATGGAAACAATCATGGCCTATTAGTCATTTTTTAGTAAACAACAGTATTAGTTAAAATATGTACCACTTATTTTGTGCCAGGCCCTCTTTTAAGCACTTTACATATATCAATTTATTTAACTTTCCAGTAACCCATGAGATAGGCACTGTAATTATTGGGAATCAGAGCACACAGAGGTTAAATTAACATCCATAAGGACACATTACCAGCACACGGCAGGGCTGGGATTCAAACCCAGAAAATCTGGCTCTAGAATCCAATAATCTCAATCACTATGGTGTACAGCCTCAGTGGCCATAAGAAAGAGTCTAATACTAATTTATTAGAGCAGAGTCTAATGAGGAGGGATTCCTCTTAAAATGAGATATTTTGAAGTCATCCTTTCATACACTACTACACCACAAAAGACGAATCTGATCCAACAGTTTTCCATGAAATGAACATGCTTATAACTAATTCAAATTATGGTAATCCAAATGACAATTTTATAATTGCCACCTCCAATAAATAACACCAGTACATGAAATAAAAATATTAAAGCAGTATGAAAAAATTACAATCACTTATATCCACAATGAGAGAAACAATAATAGAAGCAGTAAGTCCTTGCTTAGAGACAATGGATTTCATTAACTATGGCCTATTCTCTTTAGGAAAATGAAGGGGTTTTCCCTGAATAATTCCTAAGACTCATTCAACATTGAAAATTCTATGATCCTACTTAGTACTTTTGACCTATGTAAACAATACATAGATGAAGCTATCATTGTGATGAGGTTTAAAAAACATGTTTGTGAACACTTCATCTGCTCACAATAAAAATCCATCAGAAATATGATGTGTCCCCAAAAAATGTATACACATTTTGAATAATTATCAGTTCCAATGGGTTAAAGCTGAAAAGAAAAAACATCAATTGAACTATCAGCTGTATGCATTTTGGGGGGACACCCTATATTTAAGTGGATCCTATACTTGGCTCTATATGGGAACAAAAGTGTCAGGTGTCTGCTCTCACACACAGTCTAATCAGAAGTTCGTCATATTCAATCTGATTACATTTAAATAAGTGAAATAGCGGGAAAGGAAAGAATGGGGAAGAGGAAAAGGAAAATGGTTAAGGAAGAGAAAGAAATGGAGAAAAGAGAGGGAAGGACAGGTGACTAATGAATAGTGGAAAAAACAAAAATGTTCTAAGAATCTGGAGAAGGAGACATTACTAAGCCAGAAGTAGAACTGAAAGTGAACACTGAAATAATGTGTAAGGTTTGGTCAGGTGAAATGGGAAAGGTATGCCTTGCAAAGACTCAGAGTGAGAAAAAGAACACAAAATAGCAACAAAACATGCTTAGAGGACTAGACTATCAGGTCTGAGATTTGATTTTATGCTTTCAATCTAAAAAGTTGGCCTGTTACTTTTTCATGGTGCTGGCAGAAGACAGGAGACTCCTAGGTTAGAGAAAAAGGATTTTATTCATAGAAAAGCAAGTAGCATGATCACCACATGTTTGTGTCATTTCACATGAGGGCAATGCAGAAGGCCCAGATGGATAGCTGCACACACAGTGGGCTGCACTGCAGGACAGGAACACTGAGTTTGGGGAAACTGTTTTACAGCAAGCAGTAAGCAAACGTGCTCTTTGTTCTAGAAGCAGACATCACCTCACCTGTCACTCTTGCTTACTGTGAGCAATTTCCAGCTTCAAGTATGATGGCCTTCTTCTTTTCTCATTTTTAAAAAGCCTTTTAAAAACATTTAAAAAATAATTTCAAGTTTACAAAGAGCTATAAAGTTGTCCAGCTGGAGAGGCTCAGTGGTTGAGCACTAACCTATGATCTAAAAGATGGCAGTTGGATTCCTGGTCAGGGCACATGCTCAGGCTGCAGGCTCAATCCCCAGTAGGGGATGTGCAGGAGGCAGCCGATCAATGACTCCCTCGTCATTGATGTTTTTCTCTCTCCCCCTCTCCCTAAAATCAATAAAGACATATTTTTTTAAAAAATTTTTAAAAAGAGCTACAAAGACAAAAATAGTACAGAAAACACCTAGATTTGCCTATGACATTTTACCCTAATTTGCTTTAGCGTCTTGCTTACCCTTTTTTCTCTCTTCCTCACTCTCTCAATAATTTTTTTTCCTGAACCATCTAAGGGCTCATGGCTCTTTACCCCTCAGTATTTCATTATTTCCTAAAACTAAGAGAAGTCTTTTACATAACACTAGTTAACACCTTTGTAATTTTATATTGATAGAATACTTTTATCACCATCATAATTTTATATAGATAAAAAACTTTTGTCTAACCTTCCATTCATATTTTAATTTTCTTAAAATTATTCATATCTTTTGTAGCATTTCCCTTAGGATTTAATCTAGGAACAGGTATTGAATTTACTTGTCATGTCTTTTTTGGTATCCTTTAACCTGTAACATTTCCAACAGTCTTTGTCTTTTATGACATTAACATAGTTTCCTTCACCCATTTTCTAATAAACAACTTTCTACATTAAAAAAATTATGCTCTCTGTGCATGTAGACATTTTTATTTCTTCCTTTCTAACCAATATACCCTTTCTTTTTCTTGCCTTACTGCATTGTCTAGGATCTCTAGTACAATAACGAATTTCATTGCTTTTCACTTCCATTTTTATTATTTCTTCTTTCTGCTTGCTTTGGATTTCTTCTATTTTCTTTTGCTACCTTAAGGTAAAAACTTAGGTCATGACTCAAAGCCTTTTTTCTTTTCTACCATAAGCATTTTCTACTATAGCATTAGAATCCCAGTTTTAACTGCAACCTCAATATTTTTTGGTATATTTTAAAATTTTTCAATCAACTCAAAATGTTTTCTAATTTTCTTTGTGAACTATTTAGAAGTATGTTAATTTTTAAACATTTGGGAATTTTCCAGATTTTTTCCCCGTTATTGATTTCTAATTTAATTCCATTATGGTTAGCAAACATTCTTTGTACGATTTAAATTTTTAAAAAATTTGTTAAGGTTTAGTTTTTGATCCAGAATATGGTCTTAATCCAATGAACATCCATCCCATATGTATGTGAAAAGAATAATCAGCTGTTGTTGAATGACGTTTTCCATAAATGTTAATAGGGCTAAGTTGTTTGATAATGTTGTTCGGGTCTTGTATGTTCTTGCAATTTTCTGTGTCTATTTGTTCTACCAATTACTGACATGAGCAGTGAAATCTCCAACTATATGGTGGACTTGTCTATTTCTCCCTTTAGTTTTATATGTTTGCCTCATACTTAGAGCCTCTATTTTTAGCTGTATACAGAAAGTTTGTTATATAAATGTTATGTCTTCTTGAATTGATCTATTTATCCTTATGTAATGTCCTTCTCTTCATTACTGGTAATATTCCTTGTTCTGAAGTTTACCTCATCTGATGTTAATACAGTTACTTCAGCTTTGTTTTTTTTTTGATTGGTGTTTGCATTATACATCTTTCCCCATTCTTTTAATTTTAATCTTTCCATGTCTTTATATTTAAAGTGGCTTTCTTATAGAAAGCATATAATTGAGTCTTGCTTTTTACCAATATGACAATCTTTCCTTCAATCTGTATTTACACTTGGACCATTTACATTTTATTAATTTCATTTAATTATTAATATGGTTGTATTAAAATCTACCATTTTGCCAGCTCTCTATTTTTTTCCGTCTGTTCTTTGTTCTCTTTCTGCCTTTTACGGATTATTTTAAGGATTACATTTTATCTGTATTACTGTCTTATTTATACTTTTCACTTTTTTTAGTAATTGCTCAACAATTTATAATATTTATCTTTAGTCAGAGTGTATCCTCAAATAATATTACACCCTTCATATGTAGTGTAAGAATGCTAAATCAATATTATCTTAATTTCTTCCTCCCATCCTTTGGGCTATTTTATTTTTATATATGCCATAAATTTACTGTACATGGTTACCAGTTTTTATTTGGAAAATAATTTCTAGAGCAATTTAATTGTTCCATTTAGTGTTTTCCATTCTTTGTATAGATAAAAGTTGTAGTGCAAGTAAGCTGGTAATGAATGCTGTTTCTATTTGTGCCAAAGTCTTTATTTCTTTTTTTTTTAAATCTTTATTGTTGAAAGGATTACAGAAGTCCCCTTTCCCCCCCATATTTCTTCTTTATTTTTGAAAGATATTTTTGTTCTATTGAATTCTTTCAGCATTTAAAAATGTCATTCCATTGTTTTGGCTTGATAACTTCTTATGAAAAGTCTGAGTTTTTATCTTTGTTCCTCTGTATTTGACGTGTCTTTTTCCTCTGACTGCCTGAACATTTTGTTTGAAGGGTGTGTGTGTGTGTGTGTGTGTGTGTGTGTGTGTGTGTGTGTGTGTGTGTGTGTGTGTTAGAAGGTAGGAGTATTTATTTCACTTACTGTTGTCTCTGAGATTCTTGAAGCTGTTTGGTGTCTTTATTTTTTGCAATAGTTGGCCATAAGCTCTTC